TTAAACAGCAGAGGAGAGACAACAGAAAATAATTAGCTATTTGGTGTCAAAATGCTAGTTTTTAATCGAAATACATTTTGTATTGTAGTTCAATTAGCAGAATTTCGTCAAATAAAACTCAAATAAAGCAATTCAAATATGTGATAACAACACATGGGACATGTATAGTAATATTCACACAACTCAACTGTTTCTGTCACAAGTAAAGCATAGCTACTCCAAATATCTGTATAAGACTTTGGTCTTGCAAATACTAACACAAAATATGTTTCGATCAGCTTGGAATTCACAGTGCTATAATACCGTACACGTTAAAACCCAATATAGGGCTTATAGATTTGCCAAGATATGTGTGATCAGTCAAATTGTCTGTATATGCTATCTAGGGGGAGAGGTTACAAGCACAGTCACCCCAATACCAGTCTTTACCACTGGTTCCTAACTGTAATCACAATGCACATTGGTCACTTAGCTCTTGACACACTCTCCTTCGCACCAACAGAGACCTGAACATTTCAGAGCTGCTTTTTTGCACTTGCATCGGTTGTTGCAGCCTTTCTTGCAGCCACATGATACCAACTCGTAACAGATCCGTGAAGCTTCTGGAAGGGTGGTCCAGAAGGGCTGATACTGGTTGTCATCACTGCGGACCCATCCCCACCTTGTTGGTGAAGGCAGTACTTGCTGGGGTAACAAGAGCTGTCCCCAAACGTGGCCTCCCTGATATACTGCCCTCTTCACATGCTGCTCCAGAGCTGCTCGGGTTGGTGGAATGCTTTGCACTGAGTTCTTCCTCCCAAAGATTTTCTTCCGTGCAAGGTTGACATCATGACTGGTACTTGTACGGTCGTACATTAAAATGACAAATCGTTCAATGACACGCATACCGTCATCGGGGACATCATCTGGAGCACTAGACAGGTCCAAGAGAGTGTTTGTGAGCTCCGGCATCGCCTTCCAAGTAGCCCAAGCTGTCCTTTTGCCATGTCCAAGGAATGCCGAGACCGTATCGCATCCAGTCAGCGCATGAAACATCGGGAGAGCTCGTGACTTGTCTGGTCCTAGACTAACGGCAAGTTCATGTGCTGCCAAATACCGGAAACTGGTTCCTGTACCAAAAGCCAGCCACAGTTCAGAATCAGCAGGAAGAGTTTGTGCTACAGCTACTGCCAAGACAACAACATCTGTGTCAACAGTACGAACGAGAATCTTCTCATGTCCATGTCTCGACGCATGTGCTACATGCAGGAACATCCGACTATCAGCCTCTTCATGATTGCATGGACCAAGTGATTCCAGGTCCTCTTGTAGTGGAGTGCTCTCAACGTTTTCGCCAACAGTGACTACTAGCTCTTTTCCATGCTCAAAGATCGATTCAACGAGGACCATCGACAGGAACTGGAAAAGCTCCGTTTTGTTGCTGTCGACTCGGAGGAAATTCTGCCAGTTAGCTGGTGTCGTGGCAGATCCAACGACGCGTCTACGAACGCCCATTCCACGTTTTGCTCTGGCGGTTGATTTGAGGCTGTCTGTCACATAACTGTCCCATACCAAGTCCAGCCGTCTGGCACGCTGCAGCTGTGAGGATATGTACGGTTTGAAGATCACATTGGCATATTCGTCAAATGTCCTTGTGGTGCCCGGTTTCATCATTTGTACGATAGCTGCTCCATCCAGGATGACACTGGTGACAACTGGTGCATCTGATTTAGCCTTGGAAAGTTCTTCCATGCAATTCAGTAGATCGCTCTTGCTGCCAAGACGAAGATTCCCTCCTTCTGATAATGATGGAGGATAAGCACGGTTCTCATGTTGAAAAAAGTCATCCAGATTCCCATCACGCGTCTGGCATCCAATGTACATTCGTGAGAATAGCTCCATATCACCCTTCATTGTAGTGAGAGCTTGCTTGCTTTTTGGTACAGGCTTGATGGTGGGTGTGTTGAATAGAGGTAGCTTGTTCCGGCTGATGACATCATGGAGCGATTTGGATCGGTCTATCAAGCGGTCTTTCGTAAATAATTCAAACTGATCTTTTCCAATCTTCAGGGCATTTCGGACAGTTTCCACTACGGCAGGCGCTGCCATTTCCTTCGTGTCAAGCACTATCAGGTCATCCTTGCTTTCTTCTTCAAATGGGTTTCCAAGTTCCTCAAGCACAGCCACAAGTGAGGTCACATCTTTCGCATATGCCTTCTGGACTCCAGCTGTTTGGTCATGGTGCCGTGTGTCAGTTTGCTTCTTCTTGTATTGCTGTGCATCGTCAAACTCACCAATGACTCTGGAAACCTCGGGTCCGGCCACCATCCATCGACGCAGGGCATTTGGATTGTCAGTCAAACCAACCGCGCCACCGTCTCCCTTGATACAAGCATTGTTCTGCTCATGTGCCTGGTCTATAGGAATAGCCGAGAATACATTCTTGCTCTTTTGCACTGTGAAGTGACCCGCACAGAATTCTGCGTATACTTCTGGATGCTTGAGATGTAGTTCCGACATATCTAGCAAGTGCACAGCAATCCACCGAGAGTAATGCGTATGGTCCAATGCAAAGAACCACGGGATCAGTTCTGTTAAGGCGTCCAAGTACATAGTGAAGTTTGCCTCCCGTAATGACCGCACATAAACCAGAATGCAAATTTCAAGTGCCATCACGGTCGCCCAGTATTGGAACTGGGGAATGCTCTTCGCTGCATTGTGACACCAGTTGTCAAAGCTGGGAAGGTCCTGTCCGGTTTCTGTGAGTGTCTGACAGTGGCGATCAAAAGCACGACGTTGCAGGATGTACAGAGCAGCAGCTGTAACTTGGTGTGCTCGACGTGTACGTGTGATATGAGTTGCTCGAAGAAAGGAATCAGCTGTTCCAGCTGTTGCAATTCCTGCCTGTTCCAGCACTTGCGGCCATCCACTTCCTTGCAACCAGTCACCTGCGGTTTTGAGAGCAGCCAGTTCAATGTGGAGACCACCAAACATAATCACAAACTTGTCTTCTGAGTATTGTGCAGGCCACTTCCATTGAATCTGTTTGGCGATGGCATACAACGGTTGGTCGAAGACGAGAACAGGCACTTGTCCTTCATGCAATTTTCACAACATTCATTGAATGTCGTATCATCGCAACTGTGTGAGCACTCTCGTGGAACAGTGGTAGCAGGGATGTTGGCGTGATATGGTGCTCATCTTGTTGTTGCTTATTCGCATGGTATGCGGCCCAGGAGATGTTCTGTGGAGTATCTTCTGCTGTGCCCTCGAGAACCACTCTGGAATTCTCCATCCATCCATACTCGTCATCCCTATGTTGCTGAAAGTTGTTCCGCTTAAGTGATGTCAGGCGTGTAGCTGGAATTGGTGTGCCTTTGATGCTTGATTCCACTGGAGGCACATCAGTATAGTAGTGTGGCAGGTGACTGATGGTTTTGGAGACAGAGTCACCTTCAATAACAACGATTCCACGATCAACACCATCATCGTCAGCATTGGCATGCTGTATAAGTGAGATACCAGTTCCATGGAAAGAATCTTTTGCAGTGGTGGAGCTGGGGTTGTGGTCGATGTTATCCACTGCCGCTGTAGTAAATACCTTGCCTCTCAGACTTGGTGGACAGACAACCTGTTCATTTTCAAACCGTTGGCAAACACTGTTTCCCATATCTGCAGAAAGACGGAGCACTCTGTCGTATGGAATGCTGAGACCGAGGTTGAATAGTCGGTCGACCAGCTCTCGCTTCCTGGTTTGTGCGTGTAACATGAGTCCAACATAAATAGGAAGAGGTGTTTCCTGGTCGGTGTTGTGTCTGACATATTGCACGGCATCCTTTTGTTTACGTCTATGCGTGGGCCTACTTTGGTATTTGAACAGCTGTGCAATTGAAAGAGCTGCTGGTGTCATGGCTTCACGGGATTGATCTTTGATGTTTGGTCCCTCTAGAATCATATTAACTAGTGCTAGTAGAAGCTTTGGCACGGAGTTCTCTTGGCAGTTCTCCTGAAATGATCCATTGAAGGGTGTTGATTGATCAAATATATGTCGGCGAACGATCTGTGCTGCACGTGCAAGATGCACTGCATCATTGTCCATGTCTTTTTCACATGCTTTGGCAAGTGCAGGACCAATGTCATCTTGAAATGCCAGGAGAATATCTGTACCCTTTAAATGTGCTTGCAGATCAGGAAATTGGGCTAGCAATCGTAGCTTCAATCGTGTAGTGTGTACTTTTGTGTTGATTACACCTCCCAGTTGTTTTATCCTCGACCCATACATGTCTGCAAGATTAGTCAACTTGAAAACGGGAGCAGTACCTTCTTCCATGCGCTTGTCTTCTATGTACATTACCAACTCTGCAAATACAATTCCAGACACTGTGCGGTCATTATCTGTATCGTTCGGTGTGTCTCTCTTTGCTGATCGCGCACGATTGTGCAGGCGACTCAAACAGTTCTTATGGTACTTGTGTTCCAGTGCAACCATGTCACCTAACGATAGCTTGCCCAATAGCTCATTGTCCTCTACTAGTATTGCACTGGCTCTTACATGGCTATCCATTTCCATGGTTAATACTTGGTGTAGCAGTCCATCATTCTTTGATTGTCCGCAGAAAATACAGACGGCTTCAGTAGATTCACACGATGATGAGCGTCTTCTAACTCTTGCGGCTCCTTCCATCACACTACTGCTGCCAGAATCATCATCTGGTGTCTTTCTTTTAGTGGAAGCTCTTTTCAACTTTGTATTATTGTAGCGCAAGGCACATGATTTGTGCCACTTGGCCTTGTGATCAAGCATCGTCGATGCAATTCCCTGTCCATCATCCAGTGCGCTCAACGAAATGGTTTTGGGCAGCTGTCCGAGATCTCTAAACTTTACAAGATTTTCAGCCAAGGACTTGTAACCGCTGCCAACATCTGCTCTCAATAAATTGGCGGGACATTGCAAAACTTCATTTTTTCTGTCTTGACAAATAACACACTGTTCCCAATTGATTAAGTCTGCCACTGCTGTGGAAGCTGCAGTAGTATCGGCTACTTTGAATTTCTGTGACATTGTTTATATGACGAGGGTGAATTCAGGACCTTCTCAAATCACGAATCGCTGTTTCGCTGTTTACTACCTGAAACATATATGAAATTGACATATTAGATGTATATTTATTTTTTATTTATGGCCAATTAGTAACAAAGAATGAGTCTAGTATCAGTATTGAAATAGATATTTGATATACTTAAAAACTGTAGTAATAATGTCATTTTGCCCAATTAACAATAGTTAATATATTGGTTAATATTGGTGAAAAGCTAGCATTTTGACACCAAAATTAAATACAAATGATGTTGTCTCTCATCTGCTGCTTCAGATTAAATATATTACTATTAACATGTGTTCCTGATTATAAAACGGTCATTTTGATACCTTACTGGTCGAATTTGGTTGAGTAATAAAACTCTTGTGATTATTTCATTTTCTGGTACATTTATCATGGCGGCCATTTTGGTGACGTCATACTGAACACATGCTACATTGAAACACAGTGTTACTTATCTTTATAACATGAATGCCATCCAGGTATCGAATTATGTATAATTGCGTGATTTTTTTGTATGACAATTAGAACTAAAATACTTGCAAATTTATCGCAAAAATAGCATTTTGGCGGCCATTTTAAGTCGCCATCTTGAATTTGAAGCACATGAGAAGACCAAAACTATTATAAATCAATTGTGTGGGTTCTGAAACATATATGCAGTTGTTTACTCTAGGTTTGTATGTGTATTTTTGACATATATAGGGTATTTGTAAAAGTATGAATTTTTTTAGGCCATCTTGGAAAATGGCGGCTATGAGGTAAAATTCGCGATGGCTCCATATCTGAAAAAATCCACAATACAATAATCTATATGTACACAAAAAATGGTGCTTTCTTCACAAAGTGCACAATACCATCGAATTATGGTCCTTAGCCGCTGCACTAACGTGCGGGCGGAGGCGTAGGACAATGCCACGAGCGGGCGGGGGCGGACGGGTGTTGAGTTGTATAGATATAGTTGGCTGTGGAAAGTTTACCGTCAGCTATATTGACCACACAATCCCGTGCCGCCGGTCATACGGGCCGGTAGCCAGTCTCGCATATGTTACGCGAAATCTTAAGATCGCGCAGCGCAATCTACCAATTTTATATAGGCTATAGTGTTATTATGGTAATATATATAAGCAGTAAGTGGACCCCTGTTTTGCAGGCAGGTTTATCAGCGTGAGTTGGGGTGCTAGAGTTCGATGAGACTAATTGCGCAGGCCCGGTTTTGCAGGGTTTTGCAGGCAGGTTTATCAGCGTGGGTTGGGGTAGGCCCTACGTGCTAGTGTGGAGCTTTCAGGGGGGCTGACGTCCTAAAACCAAACGACTTCATTAGCCACGGGTAAGCTACGTCAGAGCTGTATATAGAGAGAGTAGCGACAATGGGGGTCCACTTACTGCTTATATACGTGCCACGAGCTCGAGAGAGCAACACATCGAAAGTCTGTTTTGGCCACGAGCTCGGGAGAGCAACCCACGTCGCAAGGATCACCTACAAGCCACCTACGAGCTCAATTGAGCATCGCCGACTGCAAGGGGAAGGCCGACCTGAAGGTCTTAATCACACGCGAACGCACAGCGCGTGCACGGATTCGAGGAGCGCCGCCTCGGACGTTACGAGGAGCCACGCTTCTATCAACACGAGCCGAGCAGCGGCAGCACTCGACGAAGAGCGAGAACGAGGAGCGACGCCGAAGGCGTTAAGACATTAGAATGGAGAATAGTTAAGACAAACAGATAATAATTGAAATAAGCAACGTAAACGTTACATACGTATATTCTATATATATGCTATATTTTAGAGACGCTAAGTCGATGTTATTCGTATAAGGTAAATAAAGTCATCAATTGTATAAAGAAAATATAAGGACTTGGTTTCATTTCACTCTGGGGTTTTCTTGCTACTGCATCACCGTCATGCCTTTACGGTAGGAGCGAAATCTGCTCCCAAATCAAACAAATTACACGTGTTAACCTTAGCACGTGTGAAAATCCAGTTGCGGCCACCCATAGGGCCACTAGATTAGAGATCAATGAGATTGCCGCACGCGGTCGGCCGATCGGTTAATTGCGCGGATCGTAAAATGTGCACACAACACATAGACTTGAGTTTGTTTACATCGTGAATCTTCAGCAATTTTACAGATTTTACTGCATCTAGCATCTGCATCAAGCGTAGCTTTTTATAACATCTGGTGTATCCACGTTTGACAACTGTCTTCTGTAGTATATTATGCATGGATGACAAGGTAGCCAAAGCACGCTATCTTGAGAAAAGTGCGTGCATTGGGAAGCGAGACCCGTACCAAATAGACAATGGCGAATGGAGTGAAGATTCACATTGTGTTTTGATCACGCTAGGCAGCCTAAAAAAGCTGTGTGGCACTTTCTCTGATACCGATTGCTGCAAGTGACATCACGTACCGCATGAGAACGGCATTGTGATGGATTTGCTTAATAGGCGAATACACTGAGCAGAGAACAGTGCATTGGGCCATGTACTTGTACAATGACTGAACTAGTACCATAGACAAAGAATAACTAGTACTGACTACCAGCATGGCCATCGGCGTTGCATTATGGGTAATTTAAAAATGTGCTAAAAACTCTCTATAGGTACTACCGGGGCGCCATGCAGGACAGGCGTTTTTGTACCTATAAACTTGACAAAAATGAGTTTTGTGGGACAAAACTCAATTTTGTCTAACAAAAGTCAATTTTGTGAACACAAAACTCAATTCTGTCAATCCTGTTCCACAAAACTCAATTTTGTGAACACAAAACTCAATTCTGTCA